TCCAGACTTGAGCCAATGCATTACGTGACCAGTAAAACCAAACCACTTTGGTAATGAAGTCCTTAGATTGCAACATAAACTAATTTAGATTGTAGCATATTGATATGCCTGTGCGTGGCAGGATATGTGCGTATGCACATTTGGGTGGGGCACACAGTATCTTCATTTGTTATTGCGGAAGAGATCCATTTTGTGGTTAAGAGGTCAAAGTCTCTAATAGTTCAACATATTATTGATGTCTATAAAATGCTTCATACTTCACTTTCTTTACAGAATGCATTTCTTTACAGAATGCAAAGGCTCTGCTTATTGTGTTGCAAGCAGCCAAGAATGTCGAGGTTATTCACCTAATTCACTGAGGTGTAACGTTTTTGCTTATGACACACCTGGCGACAATAAAATGGTACAATAAGGTCGAGTCTTCAGTTCTTTTTTTAAAAAAATTCTGAATTCCACTTTATAAAGCACAACATCATTTCATTGCATTTATTCATAAACAATTAATGCACTCGGAACTGTTTCCAATCGATATTCAATTCTGTAGCTCAGTGGTTAGAGCACTCGCCTTGCAAGTGAGAGACCTGGGTTTGATTCCCAGTGGCGCAAAACGTTGGGGAAAGCTTCCTTACTCCACATGCCTCTGTTTACCTAGCCGTAAGTAGGAACCTGGTCGTTAGTCAATTGGTGGACGGATCCCTTTTTACTGGGGTTAATAATTCCTTCAAAAAAAGTCACTCAATCCACAACTGTTTGTGGGACACTGCTGTGTGCAATTGGCTGCCGCGTTTCGCCCACAAATTATACAGTCAATTCACTTTACAGTATATTCTGTGAAGCGCTTTGAGACGTCTCGAAGACGTGACAAGACATTATATCAAATGCAAGGATTATTATTATCAATTTACTGTGGATATATTCTGAAAATATGTTTCCTGTTGATAGTCAATTCTCTGTAAAGATATCATAGAATATTACAGAAGAGAAAGAGGCTATTTGGCCCATCGTGCCTGTGCCAGCTCTTTGGAAGTGCTACACTATCAGTCCCACTCCCCCACTCTTTCCTTTTCCTTTTTTTTCCATGTTTTTCTTTTTCAAGTAGCTACCCAATTCTCTTTTGAAAGTTGTTAGCGAACCTGTTTGCACCACCCTTTCAAGCAGTGCATTCCAGACTAACAACTCTCTGTGTAAAAATGTTTCTTCTCAGCTCCCCTCTGGTTCTTTTGCAAATTATCTTGAATCTATGTCTCTTGGTTAACGACCCACCTGCCAGTGGAAACAGTTTCTCCCTATCTATTTTATCAAAACCCCTCATAATTTTAAACATCTCTATTAAATCACCCCTTAATCTTGTCTACTCTATGGAGAACAATTTCAGCTTCTCTAGTCCCTCCACATAACTAAAGTCCCTCATCCCTGCTACCATTCTGATAAGTCTCCTCTGCACCCTTTCCAAGGCCTTGAGATCCTTCTTAAACTGTGATGCCCAGAATCGGACAAAATACTCCAGCTGAGGCCTAACCGGTAATTTATTAAGATATAACAGAACTTCCTTCCTTTTGACGATATGGTTCTATTTATAAACCCAAGGATCCCACATGCTTTTTTTTACAGCTCTATCAACCTGTCCTGACACCTTCAAAGACCTTCATATATTCTGAAAACAAATAGAACAAGACCTTTGTCTTATGTTCTAAATCTGATTTTGAAACCAATGTGTATATTTCTAGATTTGTGACTTCAAATTTACAACAGCAGCAATTTGCATTGATATAGCACCTCTCACAGGAAGTAAAAGTGGCCTGTACCAGAACAGTGTGTAGGAATATTCTGATGGTACCGAGCAAAGTATATTGTATGAATAAGTCTCTGACATCTGTTTGCCTGTGTATCTTTGTGGTTTTCTCTCCCTCATTTGCTGTCTCTGCCCCACTCTATCGCTATCCTATCTCCCTCTGTTGGTTGCACACAGCTTGTATGTGCACCACTCTGTACAGCCTATCTCTCTCTCTTCCTTTTGTAAGTGTTCATCTGTGAGTCTTTCCTTCTCTTTGTTTCAACATTGTCCATCAAAAACTGTACTACCCTGTTCTGCTGTCTCAGTGCGTTCTAAAGTATTATTTTGGTTACATTTATTTCCTCAGTTGCATATAAAATTGTGTATACCTCTGTAAGTTCCCATCTGAGACATTTTCTTTCATAATGAAGATCCCTAACTTTTCTAATTGTTACTCACAGCTCACTCCAACCTTGATGAGGGCTCCCTCTGTCTCCTCGTCCTCCTCGACCTCTCTGCTGTTTGATACCGTGGACTACTCTATCCTCCTCCACAGGTCTCCTTTCACTTTAACCTTCAAAGTTCTGTCCTTGAATGGTTCAGATCCTATCTATCATATTCGCTCCACAAATGGCTTCTCCTCCAGGCTCCGCACTGTTCCGCATGGTGTCCCTCAGGGCTCTGTCTTCCGTCCTCTCCTCTTCAACCTGTACATATTCCCTCTTGGTGACATCATCTGGAGACATGGAGTCAACTTCCACATGTATGCGGATGACTCCCAACTCCATCTCTCTGCCTCCACCCTTGACCCCAGGATCACTGACTGTTCAGGGCTTTTGGATGCCCTCCCAACATGAAAGTCGCTTTACAAACCTATTTCCTATATGCATTTATGGGTAATAAGCTTCATTTGCCAGTCATAAACTCATATGCATACTGTTTTGAGCTCCCTTTGTAAGACTTTTACTGCCTCTTCTGATTCCAGTTACCCCCAACTTGCTGGCTTCTGAAAATGTATACATCAATGGCCTTAAACTTGGTTATTTATGTATGCAAGGAAAAGGAAGGATCTCAATACATGGATAATACCTCCCCCATTATGATCTAGCTCTCCCTGGCTTCTTTCCCTTCAGCCAATTTTAAGTCCACGTCTTGCTCTCGATCAGCAACTCAGTTTGTGAAGGAGTCTTTCATGGGGTACTTTGTCAAATACCTTTTGGAAGAATAGATATACTATATCATATGGCTTCCCAGAGTCAATTTCGGACATCACCTCCTCAAACGTATCAATGATATGGTTTAGACAACCAGTAAATGGAAAATAAAAAAAGCATTTAGAATTTTTTTTTAGGAAAAACTTATTTTAAATGTTTGGAATACCCTACCTGGTAATTACAAGGTAATCAAGACAAACCCATTGTGGGTATTCAAAGTATTGGACAACTACTTATTGATAGTTAATGTAAGACCTTTGATGGGTTGAATGGGTCTTTTCTTAAACCTGGTTTGTCTTGGCTTTTTCTGGGTTAATAAAAGTTGGACCTTACAATGACTAAATGGAGATTGATTTCCAAATATGGAGAAGAAATTCCTCTTACTGGTGAAGGTGAAGCTCATTTTTTATTGGTCAGCTGGTTGTTTGATAGGTACAGAAACCCATCACCATGTTTAAGAGGATCCAAACCAGGCTGAAGGTTCTGCATAATTAAGCCACTTACACACGGAAATTTCCCTATGTCTGGAATGTACACACATTCTCTCCATGGAGGGACACATCTTGCTTAACTAATTATGATAATATAATAACAACTCTTGCATTTGATGTAGCACCTTATCATTTTGTCAAGACAACTCAAAGAGCTTCACAGGGTATACTGTAAAGAGTAACTGTGTGTAATTTGTGGGCAAATTATGGAGCTTAGTTTGGCAAGAACCAAGGTTTGGGGACACCAAAATATGCATTAGGGTACTGCGGGAGTGTCACCAGCTAAACCACACAGCTTGCCGTTGAGAACATAATCCAGAAATGTTCCCAAGCTTCTTGTCCATCTAGATGCAACCTACCTATTAGGGCTCAGCTTGTAGGGTAACAGGAGTCAAAATGGAAGAATCTCTACTCCCAATCCAAATCAGCTTTAAATATTTTCCTCTGATAATCTACTGTATTATCTTCTAATTGTGCCAAGCCTTTCTTCATTCCCACAAAATTTTCAAATTTCCAAACCGATACACCTTTATCCAATTTGACCACAAATCCTATAATGGTCTCCATTTCCTAAATGTTCTCCTGCATTCAAGTTAATCACCTGCCCTGGCTCATTCCCCAGCAATGCCTTGTTTTTTCCAGTGGCTATCTTAACATACTGTTCTAAGTAATACTCTTTAATAAAATCTAAAAGACAATCCCCATTCTAGTCCTAGATTTGTCTTTTCCCAGTCAAGCAGGGGATAATTAGGGCATTCCAGATCTTGTTTCTTCCATATTTAGGGAGAGGGAAGCAATTATTCACATCGTTATAAAATAATGAAATTTGGATTAAAAAAGGCCCTTCTGCCCATTTGATCATCCTTATAGAATACCAATTCACCACTCAATCAACCCCGGCCCATCATTTGCCCTTATCGAATGGGGGATTGTTCAAATGGGCCAAAGGGCCTCTGTTTCCTTCCATTCAACCAGTTACGGTCCATGTGTTTGTTTGGTAATTATTTTGATACCCACTGGCACCAGTTCGTATGGAGTCTATTGCATGGTACTCCTTCAGAGGCTTTTAGGAAGTACAGCTATATTAGGTTGCATGGCTTCTCACGGTCAATTTGGGATCCATAAAAAAGGATGTTTGGTCAAGCCAACCTCCAAACCTGTGTTGACTCTGATCTTTTAGATTATTTCACTCAGGAACTCTGCCATTCTATTTCTGATTATCGATTTTTTAGTTTTCCAATGATGAGGTTGGACTAATTTGTCTGTAATTTCTCAGGTGTGGCTCCACCTCCCTTCTTGAATATCAGAACCACATTTGTGTAGATTTATATTTTTAAAATTTCATAGCAAACTTTCCAATCTTGAAAGACCTTAGCAGTGTGTACATAATGGGAAAAATCCAATATACATATAGTTAAATAGATAACCCCAAATGCCTTGAATTAATTACAATGATAATGTACTTGAATCAAATACTTGGTTATAGCACCATCCTGTGGTTGTAATAGAGACAATTTTCTGTTAATTTTGCAATACATTATTTTATTGAATTGGGTCTCAACTTTCAACATATTTTCCCAACTCCAGAATTTGGGTTCAAATCTCTGTTAGTTGTAAGGATCTTAAGTTAAATGAATGTAGGCAGTCTTAACTCTCTCCCACAGCAATAAGATGCCAGTAATTAAATTTGAACATGTCTGGAAGGGGAAACAAATGTTACAGTGGCGCAGGAGTCTTCTGGGATGAGAGAGCTTCAGAAGATGCAGAAAGAACATTACAATGCATCTAATTTGTATTGATCTGCCAATGTGTTAAGTGGGAACATGAACATCACTCGCCTCGAAGAGCACAGAATTCAACCCATCTTTTTTATTATTTTTTAAAAAACCTGTAAAAGCAAAACAATTATTTTGCTTATAGCAACGGTAAAGTATTTTCCAATACAATTCACTCTAAAGAGCACATTGTGAAAGCAATATCGCTCTCTGCTTTAAGAAGCGTTTATTTATTGAATGACAAGTTGTGGTAGAAGTATACGCTTGCTCTGCTTTTCTCTGGAGTAAACAACCAGACTGGTTTTCTTTGATAGATTATAGGGTCAAAAAGTAGTTTCACAACTTTCTAATTATTTAACAGCAAACTGAGTTACAGTCCTTGGGACTCAACACTAAGGAACCAAACTCACAGAAGACATATCTGGCCGAACCAGAAACTCCTCAAACTGTGTCCGTGGTGCAATGCTTGATCCAGTGTTATTGAAGATCGAGGGGGAATGGTGAAATAAAATACACCCCCCCCTTTAGTGCAGTGAAATGCACACATGGTGAAAATTTCTGGAATTTTTTTTAAATAACCACAAATTCAAAACAAAGTTCTTGAAGAAACCATTTGAATATTTTAAATAGGGGCAGCTGAATCTGCTGGTGGCTGTGATACCAGCAATCTGGTTCACGGTGCTATTGTGACATCTGAGCCTCCATGGCCTGTGCTGTCCACTCGGGTGCTGCCTGGCTGATCTTCTCCAGGAGGTTGTTGACTTGGAAACAAAGTGATTGGATCTGTTTGTCCCACGTAGGCAATGTTTCGCGAGCTGAAAGAGTAAACATGATACAGTAGAACCCCAATGCGGGTTTGCTTAAAGTATGTTTGGGGTGTGGATTCGCAACATCAATTTATCAATTATTCCAAAATATGCGCAGAAAGTCAACCGCTCGCTTCAAATTACATTGTGTCGCTTCAAGACACTAACCATTTTATCACATGCTCAAAAATGACCAACTTCAGGTAATGTTGCTGCCACCGTCATTTACTGCATACAAAGAGGTATCGTTGGTGGCGACTTGATAACCCAGAAGTTGACCAAATGTGGGAAGCCAGTTGAGTTTCTGTAAACATGCACAGTGACCGGTGATCGTGTCGCAGTGCAACATTGCTTAGAATTTTATGGAGTACCAACTTTTGTGTTACAATAAGGTTCCACTGTAATTAATTCAAAGAATCCGAAAAATGGCATAGAGCCCCACATACTAAGCAATAAGAAGGCGACAGGCCAACAATACTCAAACTGGGTGGAATCATTGATAATAGTTGCAACATACAGTGGAGGTCAAACAATAGAAAATTTAACCCAAGCTTCCAGACTATTTAGTCAATACTCCAGGAGCCTGCCCTCCTATATTGAGAATGGCCCAATGGTTTCCCAGCATGAGCTTGTACCATCAAAAGAATAAGGTATGGAGAGGCACGCCCCCACACTAATCTTTGTTATGTGTAACTTATTAGGATAAAAAAATCTGTTCTCTACAGTAAAACCTTTCCATATGATTTTAGCATTTCTCTACCCCATCACCCTCCCCCCCTCCCCTCCCCCACACACACCCAGTAAAGGAAACACAAGCATATACAAATCAGCCTCTATTCTGGATGTGAGGTGTGGTCAAGATCTTGTATCAGACCATTGCTGCTCAGTGACTAGCATTTGATATGTCTAAGAATATCTAAATACAGTACTTTACGCAATGCATTACTGAAGTGATTTGTTATGTAGACAAATGTGGGAGCTAGTCTGTGCCAACAATGGGATGATATCTCAGTGATTTCCTGATGTACTAAATTGGGTGGGTTGGCAAACAGAGAATGTGTACAAGGTTTTAAGAGGGTTTTGATATACTCGATAAATGGTCAGGTTTAATGCTAATAAATATGAGGTATTGTAATTCACAAAAATATAGTTAGGATTTATAGCCTGAAGGGTAAAATATTCAATGGAGTAGAGGTGCAGAGAGATTTGGGAGTAAAATATATAAATCACTAAAAGTAGGAAGCAGATTAAATAGGGGTTTTGAATATATAAGGAGAGAAATCATTTGAATAGGACATTGGTTACAATACAAAATTACATTTGTAAAGGGCCTTTACAAGGAGGAGGGTCTTGAGGAGTGAGTTGAAGGATCCAATGGATGGAGTGAGGTAAGGGAATGTGGGATGGAATTTGAGAGGCTGAAGGCCCGACCACCGATGGTGAGGCGGGGTGGACCAGATGGGGGACGTGGAGCAGGCTGGAGCGGAGGGAGCAGACAGGTTGATAGGGCTTTAGCAGGTCGGAGACGTAGGAGGGGACAAGGCCATGGAGGGCCTTGAAGGCGAAGACGAGAATTTTGAACTCGATCCTCTGAGGCGCGGGTGGGTGTGATACAGTCACGGAGCCTGGTGTAGGAGAGGACACAAGCTGCAGAGTTCTGGATGATCTGCAGTTTGTGGAGGGAAGAGTTGAGCCTGGTTAGACCAACGTCAGAGTATAGTGTTCAGTTTTGGGCTCCCAACTTCAAGGAATAATGTTAGAGAGATGCAGGGCGAGCAAAGAAAATTCACAAGCGTTAGCTGAGGTTTGGGAAATTATGTCTATGAAGAGAGGCTGGCCACATTGGGGCTTTCCCCATGAACAGAGGGATATGGCAGAGGTGTATAAAATTCTGGAGAGGCATGACAATGTAAAAAGGCTATGACAATTAGTTGGAAAAGAGGAAAGAGAATGGCTGAGTAGACCCCATCCCCCATATAATTTCTCTCGCCGCTGTGCAAGTCCCTTTTCCTCCATTCAGTGCTTTCCCCAACAGCTCACCATGTTGAAATTGTGCACACGAAACTCTGTGATGCATTTATGAATCACCTGACCAGCTCAGTACGCCAGAATTTAAACAAGTAGGATGCTGAGCCATCAATATTAAAACTAGAGAAATAAGAAGCATTTAAGAAGAGAGCACTTACAGAGGAACTTACTTTCAAAGTGAACAATGCTATCGATCTGATCAATGAATCCATTCATTCGTCCTTCAGTGATCATCTGTGATGCAATTTTTTCTGCCTATTTGAGAAAGTTGAAAGGGAAAATGAGACTCTCCAGAAATGTTACAAATACATATTCAGCAAAAACTGACCAAGCAGAAGAAAGATGAAACCAACAGGTTAAAAGTTAGTTAAAACACAAAGAATCATAGATTCACCAAAATTACAACATAGAAGGAGACTTCTCATTGAGCCAATAGTACGTGCTTTTCAATGAAGCTGTGCAACAAAATACACTAATAATCCCAAATCTGTATTGTTTCTCCATATCATATGCAGTTTCATTACTCTGGTTCCTGACGTATGGTCAGGCAGGTCCACAGTACTCCAAGGCACTGATGCTGACAGACCAACCAGGATTCGGAGAGTCAGATTAGTCATTGGGGATTGAATTATTTCCACTCAGCTTCTGTTAACCTTGCAAGCTAAAGTCTTAATGTGCAGGATGATCCCCTAACATCCCTGCCCTCCACCCCTTCTGATCCCAACACCCAGCTCGGGTCCAAATTCCTGACTCCCAAGCATCTTTGGACGTTCTCCCAACCTGAAAGACGCTATACAAATGTAATTTGTTATGGTTGATCTTAGCTGGACAAGCAATTGTATCTGCTTAAACTCTAGCAGTATCCCAACAAGCATTTGATGTGAGAGGAGTCACCTCACAATCCCCGAGGGAAATGATTCTTCAAAGTGTCCGCCAGTTCTATCAAGAATGATTCACAGATAACCAGAGATAAAGTTCCTCTTACTAGTAAGCACAGTGACAGAGATACAATATCTGTTTGTATCAGGAATGTTGTTCATTGATGTTAACCCAAACTTTAGAAGAAAGTTTACTACTCTGCCAATATGGCATTTTCATTTTGCATACTGGTCATCCATAGGACTCGGTTACTGCTGAATTCAGAGCTGATCTGTGCTGTGAACAGGCATCCATCTGGAAGTGGATTGAGAGTGACCACCTGTCGGAGCAGGATCTGAACCCAGATACACAATCTTCTTTTAGCTAAATGGAAGTCTTAGGCTCCAAACAATGTATACCTGTTCATCCACTCCTCTAGGATCCAGCTTTTCTTCAATGCAGAACAAAAGAGAATACAAATTCAATACTTTGGTAGCTTACCTTGGCTGGCGGGATTTCTAGTAAAGCTCCCAGTTCTTCAAACGTAATATTATTGTACAGTTTACTGGCAGAGAGCAGGTTGTGTTCAATGACTGCTCTGTCCAGTATACTGGAGCCTAGTAGCAAGGGAGGAACGTCAGACCATTACAACATAGGTAAATTACAATATTTAAAGTTCAAGTTACTAGCCAGAGGTTGCAGTGCTAGAAGTCACCAGAACTAGAACTAGTATTATGGTAAGTACCCAAATGTGTAGCTAGTGCAGTGAGAATACAGTTGAACCTCACCTTAAGAAATGAGGGCAACTCACAATTCAGACTACTTTTTTTTCCCCCACAGTGGTTTATTTATGCTTAAATAATGAGGGCAAAATAGGGCCATTAACTCCCCTTTATTGGGAATTTCCATTATAGCAATCTGTATCTGCAGTTTCCACTGTTTGTGTCTGCAATTTCCCAAATGGCAGTTCTTAACATGAACTGAGAAGCGGGAAGGACTAAGAAAGGGCCAGACAATGTCCCAGGGGAGAAACACACGCCCAGCAGTGAATCTTTGACTCTCACTTGGGAGCTGGTCACAGGTCACTCTCTTGGCTAGGGATAGCACTTGATGCTGGATGATTGGAGGAGGGGGGTGGTTATTATTATTAATTGTATAATTCAACAATCTCATATCCCTGCAATCTATTCAATTTTGGGGTTGCAGCTACTTTCCTTCACACCACTCAACATCCAGGACTAGTTCACCCAACATTGTAAAACTGGTACATTTTTTCATTTGTCACAGAACCAGGTTAAAATTCTTCTTGTATGATGCACTGAGACAGTAACTATTACCCAGACAGTAACCAATTTAATATGGCGTGTTCAAGAGGTAACCAAAGTGTGGAGTGCATTCCTGCTACAGTCAGCAATAAGTGTGTTAGCACCGATTAACAATTATGTATTGTAGTGCCAAAATATCACTGAAATCTAACCAGACTCCCTAAAGTTAATTAATTATGGTAAGTACCCAAATATTGCAGTGCATCAAAGCTTCAAAGTGCTGTACCATTTAAAGCTATGGGGAAAGGGAAATAAAACCATCCCACCAGACCACTCACAAACAGCCAACCAGTCAGTGCATAGAAAGAAGCCTGAGTGCAGGCTTCCTGCTACCCATGTGGCAGTGTATAAAAAGAGGGGAGACCACTACAGGATTTGAATTAGAAATTCTGGGCAGACGCAGTTTCTAACATTCATCTCAATTAATGGCATTTCTAAGGTGGTGGACAAAACAATAATAATAATCCTTAATATAGCACCTTATCAAGTCTTCGAGAAGTCTCAAAGCGCTTCACAGAATATACTATAAAATTAATTGACTGTATATTTTGTGGACATAAAAGTCACTTTACATAAAAACACAGAAGTATCAAAGCACCTTGCACATTTATAATAGTCTAGATTCTAATAAAATTGATACGTTAAAGGTTTTTTCTTATATCACAATCACAATATAAATAAAACACTTGACAAGCCACTGAATCCAGATTTAATCAAACTCATGAACAGAGTCATTGGCTTATCACTGAATATCCTCCACATTATCAAAACATTTTCCAATGAAAGGAATGGCAAGCTTTACTATGGTGTTACTGACATCCCGAAGTGTTAAAACTGGAATGAGACCAGTGGCATTCTGCCTTACATAAACGGTTTGCAAATTTAAATGAAAAATTAAAAATGCAGTAGGATAGCTATTCCTCCAGACCAGGTTCACAAGAGCAAGCTGAGGAAACTATAGTGATAGTACCTCATGCTACCTATCAAAATGTTTGGTCTATCAGTAAGAACAGACGACCACATCTTGCTTTCCACCTGACCCATAGCCAGGATGCAAGGGAGGAGGTTGTTGAGACTGCATTATCCACAACTATTGCATTTTTAATTTTTTTTAAAAAAAGCGAATGCTCTCAGGAATAAATGAGAGTGTTAAAACAGCATTGAAAAGCGTACCATTCCGACAAGGCATGCTATCAGCATCGTGCACAAACCATTCTACACACTACAAAAAGGTGTGGAACACACCTTCAGGACAAAAACCGACTGTGTAGACTTTACCATCAGCAGTGGTGGCTTTTTGATGAGGCATGAGCATGGCAGCAAACTCCTGCAGCTGGTTCCCTCGAATAATTCTATCCAGATACATTTTCTCTAGAATGCCATAAGCTGCTAGCTGCTGGCATCGCTCATCCTTAAACAGGGTAGCCAGCATGCGGGAACGCTGCTGCCCTAAAGAGGAATCAAAAGGTCAACAAGACTAGAATTATTTATTTAAATTGTTTTAACACAATCTTCAATCATAGACTCTTACAGACCAGAAGCAGGTCATTTGACCCATCAAGTCTGCACTGGTGTTTTTCTCCACGAGCCATCCAATCTCAGATTACTGCCTACTCCTCGTACCATTGAATACTTTTTTTCATAAGTTTAATTTCCTTTTAATATCTCTCCCACATGTTTATGAACACAATCAGAACTGGGTTTCCGCAGTGGCAAACTTTCCAAATGTACTTTTGTGATATATAATCGACAGTTTGGATACATAAGAATTTAGGATAAACCTAAAAAAAACTATAATGGTGTGATTTTTAAACTGTGTGTAGCATGGAAACACAACCAACCCTTTGTGACAGTGTAAAGCTTTATATCCATTATGTCCAACTGATTAAAAAAATAGCCTAGTTTACATCAAGATTAAAGTTTCCAACTTTGAGACAGGTAATTGGCTGAACGCAACTGTTAGCTTACTTCTTACTCTTACAGCTGCTGGGTTTACACACACGCCACACACACACGCTATTTTATAACGTTTTCTCTATTTATGCTCCGACAGTTAAAAACAAAGCATAAACATTAACTCTGAATCCATTTCTCAGGCTAAATCTCTAGGCTTTTTCTCTGCAATGAATTTTAATTGTGTATTGCATGGAAACAAAATCAGTTTCCATGCACCAGATTAGATGCATAAAATTCACCTTAGAAAATGTGGAAAACATTTATCCACAACAACAAGCCTTGGTTGAGAATTTAACAACTGGCTCTCCCAAACATTTGGAATCAAGTGCTTCACATGAAAATAGTACATCCTTTAATATTGAATACTAAGATGCAATTTATGCCTTTTTGATTTGAGGATACGGCAATTGTATGCAAAAACTTTAAACTGTTGAGAAGTTAATTACTGAAGCAGGGTAGTTGTACTGGTACTGTTGGGATTTATAGCTAGAGATCTGGGCTCAAATCGGATAACTGGTGACATTTAGACTGCAGACTTTACAGACAAGGTTTCTTGCATCTGAACTGGCTCACTGGCCAAGGGACAGTGTGGAGCACAGCTATGAAGAAGTCTGCAGCCCACACCTTCCCATTCTCTTGCCTGAAGTTCAAAGTAGTTGGTTGCAAAAATACATTACAACGAGAGCAAAATTACAATTAAAATATATTTCTGCAAATGCTCTGTTCTTCAGTTGCAGGTGTAAATTATCCATCCATAGAGAACACCAGGTAAATTCAATATTTTAGATATTGTTGGCCTACATCCCAAATAACGCCCCCCCCCAACAAAAATGGGAGGTCATTTTATTGCTTGAGGTGCCCGCAGCTTGGGTGCTAAAGGCCTTGGATATAAACAAATTACCTGCTGATGCAAGGATAGTGCAGTGGAGAGCATGCTTCAATGCCTCTAGCCGCTCAGTCTCATGAACTATAGATTTATACGAAAGTTCATTGTATCTTTGAGCAGCTTCTATAAACTTCCGTCTATAGTCAAGAACACGAGCATAGCACACCTGAGGTCAAAAGCAGAGAATATTTTATTTTCAGAATATCAAAACCTTTCAATTATCTAAAGGATCTAAGTGATAAAAAGTACAGGTTATTTCTTGTAAATAATCCTGGTTTATTAATATTTTTTAAAAGACTTCAAGATTATCTTGGTAAACAGAATTTCAAATATTTGAATGAATTGAGACTCATGTTGTATGATTCCTTCTGCTGCATCGCCCAAATAGCTGTTCTTCAAGTTTGAGCCGAGACAGTATGTCTGGAGCAATGTGGGTACCACAGCCAAGCCTGGACCTGTCCACATCTGGTGACATACAACATGTTCTTCAGCAGGGCTGATGTGTTCCTTGCCTTCCACAACAACAACAAAAAGATTGCATTTATAGAGCGCCTTTCACGTCGGGAGGACGTCCCAAGGGGCTGGACAGTTGGGTCGGGACCTGAGCAGGGGGGAAATGGTCAGGGTGAGGGGAGGGAAGGGAGGGAGCGAGGAGGGGGTAGAGAGTCGAGAGGGGAGCTGAAGGCACTGTTGAAGAGAAAGGTCTTGAGACCGGCCTTGAAGGAGGAAAGGGAGGAGGCGGCGAAGGCACTGGGGGATAGAGTTCCAGAGCCTGGGGGCTGAGAGGCTGAAAGCCCAGCCACTGATGGTAGGGCAGTTAGGGCGGGGGATGTGGAGCAGACCGGAGCCAGAGGAACGGAGGGTACGGGCAGGTACGTGGGGGGATAGTAGGTCGGAGAGGTAGGGGGGGTGCAAGGCCGCGAATGGCCTTGTAGGTGAGGATGAGGATCTTGAATTCGATCCTCTGGGGGATGGGGAGCCAGTGGAGGCGAGTGAGGGTGGGAGTGATGTGGTTGCGAAGCCTGGTGCGGGACAGTACACGAGCTGCAGAGTTCTGAATGACCTGCAGCTTGTGGCGGGAGGTGCCGGGAAGGCCCGCACCTGGCTCTTCAGTGAGCGGAGGTGGGTGGTGAACCAGGGGGAGGAGCGAGAGTAAGAGACAATACGGGAGGTGATGGGGGCAAGAGTGTCGAGTGTTGAGGAGAGGGTGTTGTGGAGGAGGGTGAGAGCAGAAGAGGGGTCAGTGAGGGATGAAGGCCAGAGGGAGAGGAGTTCAGAGGACGCCAAGTCAGTGGTTAGAGATTGTGGGGGTAACTTCTTCCAGGGGCTGTAGAAGATGGTGGTGGGTCTGGTGGGGGTAAGGTGTGGGGTGGACGCGGTGAAGGAGATGAAGTGGTGATCGGAGACGGCCTTTTCGGTAATGGTGACATCCGAGACACTGAGGCCCCGGGTGATCACCAAATCAAGTGGGTAGCCGTGAATGTGAGTGGCAGAGTTGATGTGGAGGGAGTTGATGTGGGAGAGGTTGAGCGAGGAGAGGAGGGAGGAGAAGTCCGAGGAGATGGAGCAGGAGGGGGTGAAGTGCAGGTTTAAATCGCTCAGGATGATGAGGCGATCAGAGCAGATACAGAGAGATGTTAGGAGGGTAGAAATATCGGTGATGAAGGTGGGGGAGGTTTTAGGGGGCCGGTAGAGGAGGAGAATTTTGGATGAGAGATGGGAGGGGTGGGAAAGGGTGAGGTGCTCAAAAGAGAGGAAAGAGCCAGAGGAGTAGGGGGAATAGGGCAAGTGGTGTCCTTGAGATAAGGGCTACACCACCGCAACAGCGGTTGGGGCGAGGGATGTGGTGGGAGGTGTAGCCGGGTGGTGTGGCCTCCGTGAGGGGGAAGGTGTCGCCTGGGGTGAGCCAGGTTTCAGTTAAGGCCATGATGTCAACACTCTCATCAAGGATGAGATCGTTGATGACCAGGGCCTTATTACTGAGGGAGCGGACGTTTTGTAGTCCGATGTGGAGGGAGCGGTTGACAAGAGTGTGTGTGGGGAGGGAGGTCCAGGTTGTGGGGCAGGGGTGGGGGGGATGGGGGAGGAGAGGTTGGCTCCCCGGGTCTGAGTCCCGGGTGGCTGGCAAATGTGGTGGGGAATAGGGCAGTCGGTGTGGTTGCTGCTGGTCAGCCAACACCGAGTGCCACGGTGAGCCCGGCGGAAGATTCCCAGGCTGGAACAGAGGGAGGTTGTGGGAGGATCAAGTGGGGATAGAAGGCGAGGGGGACGGAGAGAGAGGACAGAGCGGGAGAGATGCAGAGGGGGGAGAGAGGAGGGGGGAGGACGGAGGGAGGGAGGGGCTGAGGGGGCTCGGGTCAGAGCGGCAGCCATAATGCGCACGCAGGGACCGGTGCGAGCGGTCAGGTGGGCGACATTAGCCCATAGGCTGGGGCTGCCAACCCAACAGGAGCATAGTGTTCCCTGATGCGAGCCCTGGGGGGACGTAGAGGATTTTTTTTTTTGGTTTGTTTTTTTGTTTTTGCGGGCGCACACTCCTGAATCTAAACTATGACGTCAGCGGTTCCCCGCTCCGCCCCCACCCCCCACCACCAACAGCAGCACCCAGCTGAACTCCCTGCCACCTCAAGCTTTATACTACCTGAAAGGTAGGCCCAGGCTCCTCCCCGCGCTGTCCTGCCGCCGCTTCCCGTGGGCGACATTAGCCCATAGGCTGGGGCTGGCCCCAGGAACACTGAGGCCAAATAGTGTTACCCACTGCTTCTTCAGACAAGATCACTAACCCAGTCAACCTGTGATCAATGGGTCAGCGTGGATCAGTTTGTAGCACTCTCACCTCAGAGACAGAATTTTGTGGGTTCAAGCCCCACATCAGGACTTTGAACTCATATAGTCTAAGATGACACTCCAATGCAGTGCTGGGGTGTGCTGCATTGTTGGAAGAGCTGTTCTTCGGACGAGACATTAAACTAAGGTCCGTTTGCTTGTTCAGGATCCCATGATACTATTCGAAAGGTGGAGTTTCTCAGTGTCCTGGTCAACAATCCCCCCAAATAAAAATGGCCATTCATTTCATGACTGTTTGTGGGATATTGCTGTGCAAATCGGCTGCCATGTTTACCCACAAAACACAGTCACTGCAGTACATCCTGTGAAGCGCTTTGGGATGTCAATCTGAATGAAAGGCACTCTACCAAATGTGAGAATTATCATCATTATCAAACCATTAAACCGCATTGGTATAATTTTCTAGGGCAAAGTGGACAGCGATTCCAAAGACTTAAATTCCTATTTGTGTTAAGAGCAGCAAAGCGACATTGTTGATTTCTATTGAGATTTCCCCCATTATAAATCACAAATCATCAGAGTTGTGACACGGAACACCAAAAGGAAAGTCAGTCATTGACTCCTCAAGTTGTACAAACGTTCTTACTGATAAATAAACCTTCAATTAGACAGGATATGCTGGGAAGCAGAAGACTACCTTATAATGTATTTGAAGTTGTTCATTGGTTGATTCATTCTGAAGCAGAGAGGCACGGTTTATGTAAGCTTCTGCCTGCACTGGGTCGTCATCCTCCAAGTACAAACGAGCAATTTTCAGATAAGTATCCAGCTTATAGTCCACATTATATTGCCTGTAAATAGATAACAAACAGAAGAAATGAACACGTTTCCTCAACTCCACGCCCCACTATATTGCTCATCTCAAACACAGAGTTTAGGCCAAGTGCTTTCTCAGTAATGGGGGAGGGAGGGTGAAGAGGAGATAATTGGGATTACAGTAATTACTAAGCCAGTTTCACACCCCTCCTACCAGTCAACTCCAAAGAGGTACTGGAGCAAGTCTGGAAGCAGAGCACACATCTCCCATACTTACCCTAGAATATTTACATCCCAGGGAATCCAGAAGATGACACAATCAGAACTTCAAAAGTCTTCATTGAAAGAATACATCTTTATACTGTATTACAAGATTAGAAATGATAACCCTCCTAATTTCCCCTTCCCTAGCCCTGGGACCCTGAAGCTAATTTACAGCATTTTCAATGCTTCCTATGTGTGAGATAAAATAAAATAATTAAAGAATGTCAGGGGTCCAACGGCTCTTTGTTTTGACTAGGTAAATTCCTGTTAAACGATGAGAGGTTTTATTTAGTCACAACAACCTGTGGCTTGCACCACTCATTCTTAGAGCAGCTTGTTGTATTTTTGTGTTATAACCAGCACTGATTATACAATGCAAAATTACATTTGTAAAGCACCTTTCACATCGGAAGGATGTCCAATGGTGCTGGACAGTCAAGGATTAGGACCTGAGCGGTGGGGGGGGGGGGGTTGAGATCAGGGAGGGTGGAGGGCAAAGAGGGTGGCCAAAGACACTGTCGAAGAACAGGGGTCTTGAGGTGTGTCTTGAAGGAGGCAAGGGAGGGAGCAAGGCGAAAGGAATGTGGGATGAAGTTCCAGGGTGTGGGGGCAGAGAGGCTGAAGCCCAGAGAAATAACTATACCTAGTATAGCACCTAAAGCCCAGAGAGAGACCATCCAAAACTTACTTTTGCCCAGTTTCTAACGGAATTCCCACCAAGACTTGAGCAGCATTTCGCCAGTCTTCTTCCTTCTCATAAATGGAGGCTAGGTGCTGTCGTATGGAGGCTACCTAAGAAATGAATCACACCGGCAATTAACTTCTTTTCAAAGTACTGAAATAAAAAAAACATTACTTTTAAGCTACTGCAGAAGTTAAAGATATTGTTACCACCTCCACTTTTGATCACTGTGTACAATCCAAACAGATGGGTATCAGATAACCTGCCACTACCATAGAATTATCTGGGCTATTTGAGCATAGATGCAGTGCATTCAGCCTAACTAGTCAGTGAAGGCTTTTATATACTATATGAACCATCATCCCTCCTAATCTCCCATCCTATACCCCTCTGTTCCCTTCTTCCTTAAGTACACATCAACTGTTCTCTTACGTATGTTGATGCCATATCAATGGGATAACAAGTAGTCAGGTGGAACCTCGGTGTCTTACCAACAAAATTCCACTGCCCATGGGAAACTATTGAAGTTCTGCTCTACACTCCCGTCCCCCTACCATCAACAGAAGGGTCAGGATTATGAACATAAACACATACTACTATGAAATTGTACTTCAGAGCATTAACCTACTGCCCCCACCCAATCAGATTTGGCTGTGATCTCCACATTCCAATAGCCCCCTAAACTCACATAAGGCCAATTCTGTGAACTTGTGGTATACCGGAAACACCAACCGACCTGCTTCACGCACATACGCTCTGTGTACTGCACATGTCCATTGTTTTTGGAAAGCACACTGACCTCACTTCACGGAGAAAGTGACATCAGCGTGCTTCCTGTATATAACATGCAGGAAATGGCATCAGCAGCTATTTGACAACCCGAAAGCAATGACTAGTTCATATGTTACGAAGCATGTTAACATAGAGTTTGTATGTTATAAGTTCACAGACCCAGACCACCAGATTATAATGGAGTTGGTCTGTTTTTACAAGGATCACTTGGGCAAGGAACCAGATGGCTATCAGAACCATCCAACCATCCCACTCAATAGCACCAATGTCCTGAAGAGAGAAGATGGGAGAAGTAAAAAGGATTTTAAACAGAAATAAGAGAAAGATGATAAATTATGAAAAAATGAGAAAAGGTTTTTAAACCTATTTGTTCAGGTTTTTTCCAGCGATCAATAAAAATGACATTTGTTGTGCTCCCTGTTCTTTGCTCGAACTTGCAATTTGACATTTGTGAATCGTGTCATCCTATATTCACAAATTACAAGTTAGAATTAAAGCAAAGAATTCAGTCTGCAGGTATCTGTGAACCAATTACTTTTTCAGTGAAAAGAAAATCCTTCACCTGCTCTTCAAATGAAATGACTCTGGGCTGGATCTTTTCCAACGTGAAGTGATAGATTTCTTTGGCTGTACCGTCAGGAAGATTCGGTAGATGGGAGCAAAAATCAGTCAGCAATTGTCGGGAGATCACTAGACTGACATTTTCATTGACCACTGTTCCAAAACAGAAGAGGAAAATGAATCACAAGATTTCAGTAGGTTACATAATACTAAGAACTTGCCACTGCTGGTTTATTTCACTTGGCTTGTTAAAAGAGAAAAGCCACTTATACAAATGTACTTCACAATTAATTACTGCATGAGTATTAAAGATTGCATTCTACAATAGAGACTTCTATAGTTTACATTTACACTAGGTGTCAGCCTAGTTCAGATGGTAGCACACTCGCGGGTGTGAATTGTGGGCTAAGTCCTATGTTGGGACTTTGAACTCACATTCCAGACTGACACTTCAATGCAGTCCTGGGGGTGTGCTGCATTACTGAAGTTGTCATCTTCCAGATGGGCTGTTAAACCGAGGCTGTGTTTGCCTGATCAGGCAGTGTCCTGGCCAACGATCCTAGCCAACAATCCCCCAAATAAAAATCAGTCACTCATTTCATGAATGTTTGTGGGACTTAGCACAAATTGGCTGCCACATTCACCTACAAATACAGTTACTACGTTTCATAGTAGTCTCATGAATGCTTTGAAGCATCTTGACAAGGTAATAAGGCTCTATTATCAAATGAAAGGTTATTATTATTTATTGTGAGCTAACATTCTACACCAGATTGAAAAGACATTGGAACAGGGGCTCCTTATAGGGGCTCCTTCCACAAGATCAAAGTCAGTAGGTTGCCCCACTTCAGGAATTGAAACTCATATGGTCTAAAGCTGACACTCCAATGCAGTGTTGGGAGATCCATCACTGCATTGTTTGAGGTGCTGTCCTTTGGATGAGATATTAATATGAGACCCATTCAGGTGAATGTTAAAGAACTATGGCACTATTTGAATATTGAAGGAAGTTTCTCTCAGTCTTCTGGCTAACAATCCCCCACATTGAATCGGTCACTCACTTCATGTCTGTGTGCAAAACTGTGTTTGCCCACAAAAGCAGTCAATGCACTTTACAGTATATTCTGTGAAGCACTTTGGAATGATCTCTCAATGGGAAATATGTTGTACCAAATGTAAGGATAATAACTATTATCATCCACTTTACAATTGAACACAAAATGAGATTAATGATGCCCTTAAAAATATGGTTGCCTTATCAAAACACTAAAAAATATAGCACATGATAGAATGCTTGTTGCTGCAGACAGCATGTAGTAGAGTAATGCACTTACTGGCCTCAACAAAAGCCTTCAGAGCTTCCAGCTGCTCAGAGCCTGTGAGTTGCATGGCTTTTTCCAGGATCTGACGATATCTACGAAAGAATACAACAGTAGGTTAAAGGCCAATCAAGGAATCAATACCCTTGCCAGCATCACAATCTTTTTCACAACAATTTATTTCAAGGATTAAAGCACAGGCAACACTGTTCAGTTCATGCCCAATTGCAGAAGTAGATATATTCCTTTTATTAACAACAGAAAGCAAATAATGAGAAAAGGTTAGTCCATCAAGCTGGTTCCTTTCGTAGGCAATCCACAATGCACTCAGTCATAGCAGTACCCAAACCATACAATCTCCTGACTAAAGATTTTAAAAAGCTTTTCCTTGTCTCAAAATCCCTCTCCCATAAATCAAGAAAAACTCCTCTTAATTTTCCCCTAATGTACGTTTCCCATAGTCCTAGATCAGGAACTCCTGGTCTGGCTCAGTTGGTGATAATAAAGATCTTTATTGTCCACTAGAATAAAAGTTTCATCTTGGACTCAGGAGCTCAAAGTCTCAACAACCTTCTGATTCAGAGGCAGCAGTGTCACCAATTGAGCCAAGCCAGGTTGAGATACTATTCAAAAAGGAGAGTTTCTTCCTGGCTCAGTGGTAGCCTCTGAGTCAGAAGATTGTGGTTCAAGCCCCACGTGAGAACTTGAGCTCACAGTCTAAGCTGATACTCCAATGCAATGCTGGATGGGGGGTTTGCATTGTTGGAGGTGCTATCCTTCGGATGAAACATTAAACTGAGGTCCTGTCTGCCTGTTCAGATGGACATTATTTATCATGGCATGATTGGAAAAGAGAAGGGAGTTTCTCTCAATGTCCTTGCCAACAATCCTACAAATGAAATTTGGTCACTCCCTTCATGGCTGGTTGTGGAACATTGTTTTTTGCAGATTGGCTCTCTTTGTATTTGCCCACAAATACAGTCACTCCACAGTAAACTCCATGAATCGCTTTGAAAGGCACTATACCAAATGTAAGGATAATTATAATATTTATCCAGCTGATATAATTTTGACACATTAACTCCAGCAATGCCAAGTCCAAATCATGCCATATTTATACAGCTCTAACACTTTAGCATAGCCCTCATACCCCTGGAGTTTCCATTTTTTTNATTTCATGCACATAGAATTGTACATATTGTTGAGCTGCTGTAAAGCCAATACACTTTAGGCATTTTTTTTCTACTGACTGATGCCAAAGTAACACTAGCCGAGTCCAGGAGATGTGTCTCAATATTAAATAACTTTGATTCCAGCCTTCTTTAACAGAAAAGTTACCATTATTTTGATTGGGGTAATCAGAAAAAAACAGCACACGCCCAAAGAGTTTAGCATGGAGTCTCACACATTATTATGACCTCAATGACAGAAGACAGGTCAGCAGGGAAAGTGCGACAAGTTATTGCTTTTTCATGAATGGCTTGACTGCAACAGATACTATTACTAGCAAACCCAAAGCTTGAAAGTATTAAATAGCTTGCTTCCCTCTACGTTATCCTTTCCTCTCACTAAAACATGGATTTTGTTTTTAAATCTTCTTTTTCTTAATAGTTTAGTTTTATACATTTCTGGTCATAACTTAGATCCTCAAGCTCCAGAACCACCCTTGTTGCTTTTCTTTGAATACCTAATGTGTAAATTGACCAGTCACATTCGCCCACAAATACAGTCACTACATTTAACAGCAATTACTGTAAACTACTTTGAGATGTTTCAATGTTTTAGGCTTTATATCCACCATGCAAACCAGAGAACATATCAAAGAGCTCATATAATATTTATCCAATGCATCTAAAAATTATGTACTTGCAACTTTGACACGTGTGTACCATTCAATCAGGCATGCCCACAGCACATATTTAAAAGATTCACTAACATGCATCTTCTGTTTTGTTCCATTAATCAGTAGCATGAGGAAACAATTGATTGTTTAATTTGATTGCTAAAGTTAATTGGGAGAATAATGCAAATATTTTTGAGAAGAGTTCAATAATATTGTGTTACTGAACAAAGGTACATTGCTACAACTACAAAGTCTTCTTTGAATTTCTCTTTGGGATCCTCCAGTGTCTCATCCTCTTCTTCACACTCAAATGCTGCTTCACTTGCCTGTTCTGAGGGATTATTATGGCATATCCATGCACTGTGATAACTCACAAGCATCAACCAGAGCGTGGTAAAAAACACATCCTTTCTGAATTTTTAATGACAGTGTTCTAGTTGTCCCAAATACTTACGTCAACAGAAGCAGTGATATTGTATGAAGCTTTCTGCATGACTGAAGAATTCTACAAAAGTTTGCTGACACAATCATACTAAACAAAGCACACAATAAGTTTATACAAATGTTCAGCCAGTAGTAGTCTGGCATCAGTTTCATTTTTGTTTTTCACAGTATCTGCAATGTCTTGAGCTCCAAAAATGGGTTGATAACAGAGTCTTCACATGGTTCTCCAGATGAAAACACGGCTTCAGTCAGGTGGATGAACTTCTTCAACATTAGGCAGCAGAGAGTTGAAGCAGAATGATGGATCTCTAAGAAGCCAGAGATTGGAACAGCAATAATGGAGGGATGGGCTTCAACACTTACAGAATAATTCAGTCTACGAACAATTAGCACATGGCTCCATTTCAATTTATATTGCTTCCATTATCACAGCCTTGACCTACCACAGTAGTTGTTTAAGTACAAACTATGTTTCTGTAGGGTTTGAAGAAATATCTTTTGATCCCAACCAGTTGTGTCACTCAATTGCAAAATGATGTTTCTGAACTGCGCAGCAAAAGATAATGAAGAGTAATCTGAAGTTCAGGGTTGTACATGTTTGTATAATAATGCTTCTTTGTCCACAGTAACTCAGCTCAATATGCTCATCACCATCTACTGGATTCCTTACACTAACTCACAAGGTTCGACGGACACAAACTACCCCAGGGACTCAGTTGGCTTTTCATGGTAACTAGTTTCTGTTGCTAAAGCTTCATTTTTGCTTTACTAGACAAAAATGATTCCTCAAAAATGTTTCTGGGGTCCAAATTGTCAGATTTTTGAAAACAGCCTACTTTAATAAAGAACCCAAATCTCACAAATACACATTCCTTCTTCTAACTCCTTCTGTTATTGAGTGAAGGTACTTTGCTACAACTACAAAGTTTTCTTTGAATTTCTCTTTAGGATCTTCCAGTGTCTCATCCTCTCTCTCAAGTGCTGCTTCACTCGCCTGTGAACCGAGGACATATAATGCCAACAGAGGGAAATTCTATACTAATGCATTCTACTTCTGATTCGGACTTCACATAGCCTAGGAGAAATTTATGATCATTTCTTTCTAAGGAAATTTCACATAAACAATACAAATTTTCTACATTGAAGGCCTGACCGCTGATGGTGGGATGGGGGAGCATGAAGCAGGCCTGCTGAGTGGTGGGAGGGGGCAGGTTTTTAGACTTTTAAGAAGTCGGAGACATAGGGCAAAATCATAGAAGGTTTAAATGAGGATCTTGAACTTGATCCCGTGGTGATGGGGAGATAGGGAAGTCAGGCAAGGATGACAGGCTCGCCGAGCTGAGTGCGGGAAAGGACATGAGCTCAAAGTTCTGGATAGTCTAGATAGTGAAAGGAAGAGACAGGTAGTTCATCAAACAGAAAGTTAGAATAGCGTAGCCTGGACGTGATGAATGCATGGAATAAGGTCTCAGTGGCCCGAGGGGAGAGATAGTGGCAGAGGCAGATGATGTTACAGAGATGGGGGAAAGTTGAGCGGGCCAGAGTACGAATGTGAGGTTTAAAGGGCAGTGGAGAGTCAAACAAAACACAGAGGTTCCTCACTGGTTCCATGAGGTGGAGTGTACATCCAAGCATAGAGATTGTCATTGGTGACTTTAATCAGAGCAGTTTCAGTACTGTGGGCAGGGCAGAAACCAGATTGGAGGAGTTTGTGTCATAGTTGACAAGAAAAAAGAGTGAAGCTGGGAAACAACTTGTTCGGGTACTTTCAACGGAAAAAGCAGGTTGGAGATAGAAAGGAAGTTAGGGAACAAGGATGAGTCAAGAAGTTTTTTGAAGGAGTGAGGGTGATGTCAGCCGTTTTGACAACAGTGGTATTGTGCCAGTGAACAAAGCGAGGTTGTTGATGTCCATTAACGGGCCAAGTAGGTGGGGCTGGGAAGTCAGGAGAGGGATTGGGATAGAACCAATTTTGTGAGACAATTTCTGTGCTGACAAGATGAGCTGCATTGGCCATTTAGCTTCTGTTAGCATGTTAGAACAGTACATCGACATATATCAGAAATAAAACTGACGCAATGTAATCTTAACTACATCTACTAAAATAACCACAAACAACAAAAAAAATTATATTGGACAGTTAATTGACAGGAAGCTTCACAAAATCAAATCAGATAACAACAGGTTCACTAATTTAAAATAGGATATTCGCTTAACATTGCATTGAAAACATACATTTATAAATAATTTAAATAATCCTTACATTCAACATAGTACCTTATCATGTCATAGAGGATACCTCAAACCACTTGATAGGATTTTACTGTGAAGTGTTGTGACTATTTATTTATAGGCAAATGTGGTAGCCAATTTGCTGTCCCACAAATAGCCATAGAGTGAAAAACGAATTTTATTTTGAGTACTGTCGCCAGAGCATCGGAGGAAAATTCGTCTTTTTTTAATTTGTGTCACAGAATCCTTAATGCCCACCTGGACAGGCAGATTGGACCTCGGATTAACGTCTCATCTGCAGGATGGCATCTCTGACACTGCAGCACTCCCCAGCCCCGCACTGACACTACCCTATGAAAGTTCAAAATCCCAAACTGGGGCTTGAAACCACAACCTTCTGATTCAGATGCCCAGAGTGCTACCAACTGAGAATCATAGAAAGTACAGCATAGGATGGCACCGTATTTGTGCATGTAATATCAGGTAAAACTCCATACATCAGTCCTTGCCAGGCTTCACTGGCTCCCTATTACAAAATGGATCGATTTCAAGATCTTCACATTCGTTTACAAATCACTTTGTACCCTGGCCACTCCTTACCTCTCTGACCTGTTACCCGTTACCCGTACCCTTCGCTCAGATTGCTGAGGCCTCCTGCGCGTTCCCTCCACTCCACCAGCATTGGTCGTGCTTTCAGCCACTAATGCCCCCAAACCCCGGAAATCTCCACCTCGATCCCTTTGCCTTGCCCACCGCCCTCGCTTTGCCAGTCTTTGACCGTGTCTACAGTTCCCCCCGGCTCCCGGCTCAGCGTCAGGCTCCACCGCTGTTAAGCTCTCTTGAGACACTAACCCGAGTGAAGGATGCTACGTAAACGCAGGTTGTCGTTGTTAAAAAGCGGATCGAGCCGAGAACTGCGATGAATTACGCGCTCGCAAATGAAGCACAGTCCCCTGGCCGAGATACCAGCGAGGGCAGCCACTGCCCGTACCATCAGCCGCACGTCCAAAATAGTCATCTACTCCCAGGGAGGTAGAGGGGGAGAAAATTAATCCCATAAAAGGGGGGAAAACCTACATAAAAGTCAAGTCTCCTTTCTCCTTTTTACATTAAATGTTAAGAAACCAGTTGTTGGATCCTGACAGGTGGAGCCTGTGGGGGTGGGGGAGGGGTGGGTGGGAGGGGGGGGGGGAGGGGGTGGAGGGGAGGGTGGGGGGTGGGGGGGGGGGAGGGGGGGAGGGAAGGGGAGGGGGTGGGGGGGGAGGGGAGGGGGTGGGGGGGGGTCTGTGTAAAGCTAAACAAACGCGGCAGCCAATTTGCTGTCCCACGATCAGTCGGGGGGTCAACCGCGGGTTTTACTTTGAGGATTTTAATTCTGAAAATACAGTGTTGAAAGGACGTTATTTTCAAACCGAGCGGCTGAGGCTCGCGGTCTCGCGGTCTCCGGCCCGGGCCCTGCTCCCCCTTCCCAGCCTCGCACACCACGCCGCCCCGGCCTCCAGACGCTCGCAGCCCATCGGTCCCTCCCGCCCGCCCGCCTCTGCCTCACTCACTTGCCGGCCAGGTCCTTGTGGGAGCCGCTGGAGTTCATCAACAGCGCCAGCTCCTGCCTCATCGCCGCCGCCATCTTCCTCCACCGCCAACGAGCGCCTCTCGGCGACAAGAGATTCCCCGCCACCCCCTCCCCACCCCCCACACAGTCACCGACAGCGCCTCCACCGCCCGGAGGATCACATCAGTCCTCCCACCGCCGGGCACGATGCCAGTCCGTGTTGTCAGATTGGGCGAATTTCACGCCCGATTGATCGTGTTTTTGTTGCACTGCGCGTGAGAAAATCGCTTTAATAATAATAATAATAATAATCCTTGCATTTGATATAGCGCTTTTCACGTCGGGAGGACGTCCCAAAGCGCTTCCAGAACACACTGTAAAGTGAATTGACTGTATATTTGTGGGCGAAGGCGGCAGCCAATTGCGCACAGCAATGTCCCACAAACAGTCGTAGATTGAAAATGACCAATTTATTATTGATTTTGGTTTTGGAGGGATTATTATTAGGCTCTGTGTGGAGTAAGGAAACTTGCCCAAGGTTTCGCCCTCTGCCTGGAATTGAACTCAGGTCTCTCACTTGCAAAGCGAGTGCTCTAACCACTGAGCTACAGGACTCCACTTTGGCCGGGTGCCTGATTTTTACATTTTTTAATTGAATCTGCAAAAAAAAAGTTTTTTTTCTTTGAAGACATTTCCTTGCACGGTTTCAAAAGCCATAGTAGGCAACACATAACATTGTGATACTTTGGAGCTAGTATTTGGTTGACTTTGGGCTGCAAACCTATTTCAATTTCTGGCCACCCTGCGCTGAGCAAAGCAGATTCGTCCTCTCACAAGGCAATTGGAAAGTGTTCCCTAAATTGATTCTGACTCCTTTTAATAGAAAAATCCTTGCACCTTAGTGCCCACTAACTAAAGTGTCTCAAAGCACTTCCCAGGGAATTGTTGTCAAGTGGAGTAATTGTGTATTGATCGGCTGATCACTTCTCCAGGGGTAATAATTGCTTCCAAAAAATAAATAATAATAATTTGGTCACTCAATCCACGACTGTTTGTCGGATACTGCTGTGCGCAATTGGCTGCCGCATTTCATCCATGAGTTATACATTCAAATCACTTTACAGTATATTCTGTGAAGCAATTTGAGATGTCTCTAAGACGTGATTAGGTGCTATATCAAATGCAAGGATTATTATCATTATTTGTTGGGAAATTTGCACACAGCAAGGGTCCTGCAAACAACTGTAAAGTGAATCATCATAAAGTGATGTTTATCAATCATCATAAACAATTCATCTGCTCACCAGGGCAAGGGGAGAAACAACTTTATCTTTTCAAAAAGTGCTATGAGATCTTTAACAATCAGCTCCAGATAGGATTTTGGTTTAATATCTCCTCTGAATAATGAGATGCCCTGACTTGAAAAGAATGTGCAACAAATGTAAGGATTACTGTATTATAATTATGCTGGAGTTAGTTCCTTCACTAGAAGTGTATGCTCAATCCCCAGCAGTACTTGGACAAAAGAGGGCATTAGGAACAACTTACAAATATCTGGGGGCTGGGGTCAGGCTTGATGACATTCTTCCAAAGATTCCTGAGAGTTTTTTGAACTGTTTGCCATGATCTCTCCATTGAAAGGACTCTCATAAACTAGCCAACGTGGCCACACCCAAGTGATCTGGGATGTTACCCTGTGTGAGGGGCGCTATATAAATGCAAGTTATTGTTGTTAAGATCCTGGTCCTTATCTTCAAAGCCCTCCTTGGCCTTGCTCCTCCCTAACTCCATGACCTCCTAACCCCCTACCAACCTGTCCACTCCCTTCGTTCAGCAGGCTCTGACGTGCTTAATACTCTTCTGCGTTGCACAATCCCACCATTGGAGGGCGGGCCTACAGCCTCTGGAACTCCATCCCACAGTCCTACCAGCAGCAGCATGAATGTGAAAATTTGGATGTTTGGGGGAAATTTAAACTGACATCCTCAAATTTTATTTTATTCTAACCAACATAAATCCTACTCCATCAGTTTTTCTTCCTGTTTGAACTCTGTGGTTAAAACAATTAACATAGCCCAATAGGAAATGGTCATATCATGCTCTGATAATCCTCACCCTATTGCTTCCAGAGTTTCTGAAAAGATCGAATGCAAGGCAGCTAAATGTTTGTCTTCTCAGGGATTAGCAGTTTCTTCTGGAGGTCAAGGATTATCTTTCACAGTTCCTAGAACAAAACTATACCCTTGAGATCTTGCTGATTCTCTTATGGAAAATCCCAAAGTTGTTCTATATGAACATATTGTTTCCTATGTGTCTTCAATTGGAGCACTTTCTTGCTTCTCAAAAATTATTGAATTTGGTCACTTGAATTTGCATACAATGCAAAGCGGATCCCAGAAAACCAACATTTGACTTAAAATTAGTTTAGCTCATAGGATCAGTTTGTCTTAAAATTTATTCTGTGTGGCACTTTGAGATGTTTCAATGACATGATAAGATGTTTTATCAAATCCAAGAATTATTATTAAAATTTTAAATTTTGCAGAATTGTGGAAATTATAAAATTCAAGTTTAATTTGGATGCTGCATTTCTCCAGTTCTTACAAAGATCTTACTTCCAAATTAAGACAGAATTCAAGAATTTTCCACAGTTATGTATGGTCTTAAATTTTAGGACAAAATAGTCTTACAGGAACACATGGTGGAATTTTGCTTCAGAGATCTATATGGCCCTTCAAGCAGCCATTGAAGGATGAGCTAGATTTTTCTCCTGTCCTTCCAAGTGATATTGCAAATTTAGCCGACCAATACAGATTACTGTGGGCATGGTGACAAACCAGGGTTTCTTGCTTTCTATTCTGTTAGACGAATATGGGTTTTCAATCACTGGCAGGGCTGGTCACTTCTGATCGTTATCAAGGCAACTTTCCCCATAATTTCAAAGGTACTCACGAGGACATGGACAGGTGAACTCTCCTCCCTTTTGCTTTGCTAAGCACAGTGGGTGTTATCAAGATGAATATTCTTCTCCAAATTCTTTATTAGTTCCAAATGCTCCAACTTAACCTTTTCCTAGCTGCTATTTAATTGTGATAATTGTCCTTGCATTTGATATAGTGACTTTCACATCAGAGGGACATCTTAAGACACTTCACAGGATATACTGGAAAGTTTAGCAACTTTGTATTTTGTATCTATCACAGATACAGATGAATGTATATTTTTCAAATTTGTACGTTATAATTAAATCTGCATATTATAAATCCTTTAGCTTAAATTCTTTATTTGTTACCAGGGCTTTCAACATTGAGCACTGAGATTCCTGATTACAATGCAATACTAATTCTTGCATTTGAGCTATCCCTTTAACATTCCATATCAAAGCACTTTACAAGATTTCTGTAAAGCACAGTAACTGTACTAATTGTAGGCAAACACTGAGTAATCAAAACAAGTTGTAAACTCATTTAGGTTCAGTTCCCACACCCCTAAAACAGCCATCATCACACCCTCCTGAAAAAACCTTCTCTGGACCTATCCCTCCTCTCCAACTACAGTCCCATCTCTAACCTTCTATTCCTCTCCAAGGTCCTGGAAGTAGTCGTCGCTTCCCAGCTCCACTCCTTTCTTTCTCGCCATTCCCTCTTTCAAACTTTCCAATCCGGCTTCCGCGCTGCCCACAGCACGGAAACAGCCCTGGTCAAAGTCACTAATGACATTCTGAACATCTGTAATCAGGGCTCCCTCTGCCTCGTCTTCCTCGACCTCTTTGCCGCCTTCGACAATGTCGACTACTCCACCCTCACACACTGCCTCTCCTCTTTACTTAACCTTCGCAGTCCTGCCCTTGCCTGGATCGAATCCTATCTCTCTCACTGTCTCCACTTTGTTGCCTCAAACGGTTTCTCCTCCAGCCCACGCACTCTCAGGTCTGGCGTCCCCCAGGGCTCTGTCCTTGGCCCTCTCCTCTTTAATATCTACATGCTCCCCCTTGGTGACAACATCCGCAGACATGGGGTCAACTTCCACATATATGCGGATGACACCCAACTCTTTCTTTCTGCCTCCACCCTCAACTCCAGGACCATTGCTGTCCTGACAGACTGTCTGTCGGACATCAAGTCCTGGATGAGGGAAAATTTTCCACAGTTGAATGTGAACAAGGCTGAGGCCCTCCTGATTGGCTCACGCCAGCGCCTCAGCACCTCAGGCTCTGGCAACATCAACCTCCATGATTGCACATTACAACTCACCAGCCTGTCAGGAGCCTGGGTGTCTTGTTCGACTCTCAACTGTCTTTTCTTCCCCACATCTAAGCCATGACTCGCTCTGCCTTTCCTCACCTCCGTAACATCGCCCGACTCCGCCACTACCACATCCCTCAGGCCTCTGAAACTCTTGTTCATACCTTCATCACCTCCAGGCTCGACTATGCAAATGCCCTGCTTGTCGGCCTTCCCAACTCCTCCCTCCACAGGCTGCAGATAATCCAGAACTCTGCAGTCCATGTCCTCTCCCGCACCAAACTCCGTAACCCCATTTCCCCCATTCTCACCTGACTCCACTGGCTCCCTATCCTTCAGAGGATCCAGTTCAAGACCCTGGTCCTCACCTACAAAGCCCTCCGTGGCCTCGCCCCACCCTACCTCTGCGACCTGCTAACCCCCTACCAACCCGCCCACTCCCTCTGCTCAGCCCGCTCTGGCCTGCTCCACATCCCCCAACCCATCTGCCCCACCATTGGCGGGAGAGCCTTCAGCCACTCTGTCCCCAACCTCTGGAATTCAATCCCCAATCACTCCGCCTCGCCCCCTCCTTAGCTTCCTTCAAGTCCCACCTGAAGACCCTCCTCTTCGACCATGCCATCGGCCACCCCCCTTCCCTCCTTTCTCCCCCCCTAACCCCAGCTTGGGTCTGAAATCTTGTACACTATCCAGCGCCTTGGGACATTCTCCCGACATGAAAGGCGCTATACAAATGTAATCTTGTTGTTGCTGTTAAGGAGATGATTGCATATTTAATGTTAAGACTGGCATATATTAAGATTACAAACAAAATTTCAATCAACAAAGAGAGCATGTCTCACTACTTAGTAATTGATGGCTTGGCAGGCAGGTGTTTTTCAATATCCCAATAATAATAATAATAATCCTTGGATGTGATATAGCGACTTATCACATCTTCGAGATGTCTTCACAGAATATTAAAGTGAATTGAGTGTATATTTTGTGGGCAAACCTTGGCAACCAATTGTGCACAACAGTGTCCTACAAACATTCATGAATTGAGTGACCAAAATCTTACTTAAATTTTTTTTAAAAAGGGTTTAATTACCGCCGGAAAAGCGATCCGCCAATCGACTAACAACCGGGTTCCTACTTACTGATGGGTAAACAGAAGCGTGTGGAGTAAGGAATCTTGCCCTGCCCGGAAATCAAACCCAGGTCCTCTAACTTGTGAGGCCAGCGCTCTAACCACTGAACTACAGGACTCCAATAACACACTATGTGGAAAGTAGAATATGGTGATGCGTATAACACATATCTAATTAATACGTAACAACCACTGATCGATGCTAATTTTGTCATTCTTAAAACCAGATACTCTGCCCGGCCTGGCCTGCCTGCCTTCCCTGCTTGCACTTTGTTTCACTGGAATAATAATAATCCCTCCAAAAAAACAATAAAAAAACAATAATAAATTGGTCATTTTCAATCCACCACTGTTTGTGGGACACTGCTGTGCGCAATTGGCTGCCGGGTTTCGCCCACAAATATACAGTCAATTCACTTTACAGCATATTCTGAGAAGTGCTTTGAGACGTCGAGAAGATGTGAAAAGCGCTATATCAAATGCAAGGATTATTATATTATTATTATTAACACAGCGTTGCTGGGATTTCAGGTGCGCTACAGTATTGTGCATGTGACCAGCAGAACACTGGACTCCGCCTCTTTCCCTGACTGACCAGAACGGGGAGGGAGGGAGGGAGAGGAACAGCCGACAGCACCACGCAGTGGGCGTGGTGTTCATCGTGACGCAACGCGCAAGCCACGTCATGCCTGCGAGTGGGAGAGTAGAAGGGGCGTCGGCAGAGGAGGAGGAGGAGCTGGTGGTGACGTCAGGTGCCAGAGGCGCGCGGTGCGAAACGGCTTGCTGTTGGGAGCCGAGTTGTGCGCATGTGCGGAGAGAGAGAGAGAGAGAGAGAGAGCGCGCGAGAGAGGGAGTGATTGCGTATAGGGGAGGGGGCGGAGCCGGCGCGGCTTTGACGGACGTGCTTCGCGGATGGCGGCGGCGGCGGTCTCCCCGGGCGCGGTGTGATATTATGGGATGTTGGGAGAGGAGGAATGGCGCTGGGCGCGTGATTTTGAACAAACACGGTCGCTCGGTGCCCCGGTGACGGCGCCTCTGGGCGTGTGGTAACCGAGCTCGGCGCCGCGACAGGCCCAGAGGCCGAGCCGGGCTCTCTCTGCACACACACACACACCCCGCCCGCCCGCTCTTGGTGGTGGTGGTGGTGGGGGCAAGAAAATAATAATAAGCGAGAAGCGGGCAGAGGGCAGGAGGACAGAGCCGGGGGGACACCTTCAATGCCGCCCGCTTCCAGCGCACCCCGAGTGCGGGCAGGAGAGCCGGTGAGTACCACAGCCGCGCAGTCAGCAGCTGATAGTGTTTCACGTCCAGGGGACGGGGAGGAGGGGGATCGGTGCCCACCCCCACCACCACCACCTGGGGTTATCCGGGGCCACACACACACGGAGGCCGTCCGCTGCCCTCAGCCTCCCCTCCCCTGCCCGCCCGCCCGCCCGCCGGCCGGTGTGGACCCCCCCAGCCCCGAGGGGAGGCGGGGAAGAGGGGGAACCAGGTGAGCGGCGGTGACCTCCTGCACATCACGCCCAGGGCCGGAGCTCTTCCCGTTCTCCCTCTCTCCCTCTCTCTATTCACCTTTTTGTGTGTGTGTGTGTGTGGCCGAAAGTGTTGTCGCTTAACGTGCGGTTCTCAGGGCTGTCAGTCAGTCACTGGGATGCAGAGTGACAGCTGTTTTGGTGCTCGGCATATACCTGGGTCCCAGACCCCTGCCCTCCCTCTCTCCCCCCTCCCCGGCTTGTTGACAGTTGGGTCATTTTCTCTCTCCTTTATAACTCCTCCTTGGTTTCTTCTTCTGAGTTTATCCTGATCCTGTTCAAGACGCCTAACTTTTCACCAGCGTTCATTTCATTTTCAAAACGTGGAGAGAGCTGACTTTATAAGTTGTGTTTGTTTTAGGTGTGTGTGTGTGTGTGTGTTGTCAGCTAAAGGTTTATTGCCCCCCCCCCAAAAAAAAATATCTGAATTAGACGGGATGATTTTCTTTCAGGTCAAAGTCCTGGTGTTTTGTAGATTTTTGAACCCATTCGGGGGAACCACCCCTTTTGCACTTCTAATGAACGAACGCATTCGCTAAATATATATATATATATCTATATTTTTGTTTGGACTCTGGCTTCTGCAGGTGGTGTCAGCTGTTGCATTTGTGGTGCAATTTCTTTCTATTTCCCTCTGCGATATTTCACAACGGGGCGTTATTGCTTTAATACCTCTCTCTCCCCCCCACCCCCACACCCCCCCACCCTCCCCACCCCTACCCCCCCACCCCCCCACCCCTACCCGTGCTGTTTTGATCTCAGTTACAGATTGTTTGAAGGTATTAATGATCGAGGAGATGGGACGGTAAATATTTAACGGTTGAGGCAACCCCCCCCCCCCCCACCACCCCCCCAAACCCTGGGCTTTTTTTTTAAAATCGTACACAAAAAAAAAACCCTTCTCGAGAAGCCGCCGCCAGCAATTTGAACTGGAGGAGGAGGGAGGGAGGAGGAGGGGGGGAGGAAGGAGGAGGAGGAGGAAGAAGTGTTTTTTTTATATACATGTATATATATGTCGGGAGTCGCTCGGGCGCACGGTTTTGAGTTTGTATTGGGGGTCGGTAGATGATCTGTGGCTTTGAAAACTTGTTGTTCGAAAAACCATAACGCGCCGAGAAAGCGTCCGGTTTGCGATTTCGGGATTTCGTTTCGCAAGTGCGTGTTTCCTGTTGAGTTTTTTTTTTTTGCGCGGTTTTTTCGTATTATTTTTTTTCCCCCCCGTGTGTGTGTGTGTGTGTGTGTGTGACCCAGTCTCGCCGGGAGAGGCCCTGCCTTTTCTCTGGAAATGTGATGACGAGGTGAAAATGGCGGACCTTTCGAAATGCAATCCTCTCCGCGGCGACAACCCGCCCCGGCGGAGCCTGCGACCCCCGCCCCGCCCGCCCGCCCGCCGGGAGAGGCACAGCCCCGGGCGGCCGGGGGGGACCGCAGGGGGGGGGGGGGGGAGGGGGGAGAGTCGCTCCTCCATCCCACCCCCCACCCCCCCACGACGCCCTAAGCGCCGTCGGGTGTCAAGTTGTGCTGCAAAGGCACCAGCCCCCGAGGTGCAGAGACGGGCCCTGCAATCTTGTGTGTGTGTGTGTGTGTGTCTGTGTGTGTGTGTTTTTTTTTCTTCTTCAAGGTCTGTCTAGACGTGGCTTTTTCTTAAAGACACAGCTATCCACGTTTCACCCCCACACACAGAGGTTACGCTTCGAAGCCGAGAGCCGTGTGATGTGCGCGCTGCCCCTCGGGATGGCCCCCAACCAATTCCATTTGTTCCGCGCGCGATGAAGGTGACATCGAAGCGCTTTTTCATAGTGCGCCGTTAACTTTTCTCGCAGAACCGAAAGCTCTTAATCGGCAAACGCCTGGCCAGCTTTGCAGTTTATCAACCGTTCCGTTAAGTGCTTCACTTAGTTTGTAAACTGAAACTAAGATGCCTTTGGAAAGCGCGGCTGTGTGACCGTCCTGCCCGCCTGCCTGCCCCCCAGCCAATTTTTAATGTAAACCTCATTATGTTGCAGCAGATCCGTCATCCGATACAATGAAACCCTTCGCCTCTTTTCCTACACAGTGAATTTTTATGGCATTTTCAGAATTGGTTGTTGCAGCTTGATCCAAACTGCTCAATACAATAATCCTTTTAAGTATACGATTCGTGGCACATTTGAGTCGAGTGCAAATATTTTGGTACAGGATCAGTATTAGCAATTGGATGTTTTGGTGAACAGACAGAGTGATCTCTTTGACATGTATTAAACGGATGTTATTACTTCATTGTGAAATTCTGGCTATGGCTTAGTTCCAATCTTCGGTCGGAATACTCTGCCTTACTGGAGAGGGACCATAACAAATTAGTACTGCAATAGAGACTACATCTGCTGCTTTTACTATGCTTTTTGTGCACCTATTTTTGCAAATATAAGTCAAAATGCTTTATAGTAGGAACCTGAGTGCCAAAGTGGGCTAAAGTATTGCCCTTCCGCTTTGGAACCTTCAAATTTACTCCAGATTTTTAGGACAGAGATCTCCCTCAAAGCTATAATGCCATATACTACTGTACTTATGTTGTGAAATAATGTAGAACTGCTTCAAATAGAAGAAGTTGTGCTAGATCCTGAGATGTTGCTGTATAGTTGTTTTCCCTGTTAACGCTGAGGGCTAAAATTCACTGTTAACAAGTTTAAAAACACACATGCATAGTTTAAGTTTATGGATTACGACTTCAGCTTCTCCTATTTTGGAACGACTATACAAAGACTGAAACAGCATCAAAAATGGCGCTCTTTAAAACCTACCTCACTTAATTTCCATTGTAACACTACTGCCATAGGCGAAGCTACAATATAATTACAGAATAAAAAATCGTGTGAGAAATAAGTTTGCCCAGTATTAAATCAGTTAGATCATAACTGGTTGTTGCAGGAACTAGATATTTCATTGTCTCAATAGTGGTGCTCTTCTGAATTTTGTGGATAATGCTAAAAGCGCCAGCATTTATTTCCCATCCCTGGTTGCCCCCAAGAAAGTGATGATGGGCATGTATATTGCTGCAATGGTGCTTCTATGATGTTGTGTAGGAAATCTAGCATTTTGATCAGTTGAACATGAGGGAAAGGCAATATATGACCAAGTCAAGCTGATTAAGAAAAGGCTATTTAGCGCACCCTGTGTATAACATTAGCTCTGCCAACGTGACATCTAATTACATTTTGAATAATCGTAGCGTTTTCCCTTTATTGGTAGATTATTATATACTTCAATAAGGTTTTTCTTTCTCTTGTCTCCTCCCCCTCCATTCAATTTTCTTCTTTTTGAATCGTAAAGCACCTTTTTTTATTGCTTTCCTTTCTGTTAATTTGTGATCCAGCGCCTTGGGACGTCCTCCCGAAAGGTGCTATGCAAATATAAATTTGTATTGTGATTAGCCCCGGTGTTCTACCTGTACCTTTCCTAATTCAATTGATTTCTGTGGCATTGTGACCAAGCTGAAAATTCATTATTCTAGGTGTGGCCTGGCCGATGCTTTCTAAAGTCTTACCATAATTTAAATAGGGCTGCACTTTACTGTTCTGTCTATATATTCTAGCATTTATTGGCTCTTTAAATTGTTATACCACACTGTCTTGTCATATTAACCTCTTCTGTATATTTATACCCCTTCACCTAGGTGTAATAGTTTTCTGTTTAGGTGTGTTAACTTTCACTTGTCCAGTGTTTGCATTACTGGATAACTGATCAAAATTATTTTGCTTGTTGCATCCTTTGCCTATTTCTCCTCTTATTTTTGTGATTCTGATTAATTTGCAACTTATTGTTGGTTTCAGTTTCGGTTAATTCTATTTTAGGGGTCGTTGTAGACCAGAAGAAATAAGAGTCCAAGCGCTGAATTTTTGGTGTCTCCATTAATTACTTGTAACCAGTATAATCTCTTTTCTATTAGCAACAAGATTCTTATCCAGTTCGATGGCCTACTCTGGATTCTTGTGGGTTTTGATTTGTTAGTCTGTTATGAGGAGCTGTGCCAAAACCTTAAAGTTGAAATAAACAAGATTATAAGAAGTGCCTTTTTCTGTTACATTAACAAAGGAATTGAGGTTTGTTATATGAAAAATCTTTCTCCTAAATCCTTGCTGACTATTTTTCTTATCAAGTTGCTGCTGTACAGAACTTCAGACTAATGGTTGGAATATTATCTTTTGTTATATGTTGGATTACTGGCCCTGAATTTACCAGGGGGAATTTTAATGCTATTCTTCAATGAAAGATACAAGAGATAATAACAACAATCCTTAATTTGCTATAACACCTTTCACATAGTGAGGACATCCCAAAGTGTTTTACAGGATATATTGTAAAGTTTAGTGATTGTGTTTTGTGGATGAACGCAGCAGCCAATTTACACATACCAGTGTCCCACAAATGGCCATGAGTGAATGTCCAATTTTGTTTGGGGGACTGTTGTTGGTTAGGATACCAGAGAAACTCCCTTCACTTTTCAAGTAGTGTCATTGGATCCTTAATGTCCACCTGTCTAGGCAGACGGGGCCTCGGTTTAATGTCTCATCTGAAGGATGAAATCTCCAACAATGCCACACTGCATTGCAGTATCAGCTAATACTATGTGATTCCAAGTGCTAACAAGGGGTTATTCCATAATCTTCTGACTCAGAGGCGAGAGTGCTACTACCTGAGCCATCACAAGGAGTGGATGGGTTTGTAGGAGAGGGTGAGAACATTAAAATTGA